GCAGGTGTTCTCTCTGTGGGTCAGCCCGACCATATCACCTACCGCAAAGAGTCATAAAACTCAAGTCAGCAGTAAAATAATCAGGATGGCAATAATAATAATAATAATAATAATAATGAGAAGGAGGAGAAGGAGGAGAAGGAGGAGAAGGAGGAGAAGGAGGAGAAGGAGAAACAGCTCAGGTTGTCAAGAATCTAATGATTCAAAATTTCAGAATAAAGCACTCACTCTGCTCAGATCACAAGTGTCTTATAACTCAAGCTTGATGTCCCAGTGGACATTTCTATACTTTGACTTCCAAGCCATGCTTTGTGGGGATAGACAGAATGTTGGCATGCTTTTGGCCAAATCAAACCAAAATATATATTCAAGCCAGGCTGTAGGGTGGCAAAAGTTTTTATTGGGTGATTTGTCTTTGAGTTTTTCAAAAATACCAAATAGTTTAGCTTGGAATTTTTTTTTTTTTTACAACTGATGTGGAAAACCCTTTGTTTTCCATATGTTTTGAACTAAAGCTGCCATGTGTCTTACTGTTCATCATTTTGCATGAGGATGATAGGAGTTGTAGGCCAAAACATCTGTAGTAGTAAAGGTTCCTTGCCCCTGCTTTAGACTTTGATCCCCGAGTTCATTAGAAGCCTATTAAAAGTTCTCCTTTGAATAGATTAATGGTGATGAATGGGTTCCCTGAAGGAAAGAGTACCTGTTCCCTCTACCAGTCTTACATGGGCATGTTAGATATGTTTTCTCAGTAGGCTGAAGGTAATGATGAATTTACTTAGGCCCAGACAGTTGTAGGTGGGCTAAGTATAGAGACATACGTACTAGAATTTCGTACAATATTCTTTCCAGCTTGCAGAGTTTATATAACAGATTGGAGGACATTCTCATTAGATAGCTTGACTTACTCATTTGTTTATTTATATTATTTATATGCTGTCTTTCTCCCCATAGGGGACCCAAGGCAACTCAACAAAAACTAGAACTATAAAACTATCAACAGTTTTAAAATACTATGTTAATGTCATAATAAAAAGAATTAAACATTAATACTGAAATTGAGATAGAAAACAAATTTAAAACATTTTAAGAAACATTTTTTAAAAAATCTCTGAATTAATATTCAAAGCATTCCTGAGATGTTTTCTGGTTTTAAAGCCTTCCTGAAAAGGAAGATATTTGCCTGACGATGGAAGGACGAGAGGGGGAGGGGCAACCTAGCTTCTCATTCCAAAGCCTGGGAGCAGCCACTTAGAAAGCCCTCTCATGTCCTCTCAGAACAGCTTATGAAGGGTATACCCCATAAATCTGACATTTGAAACCTATGGGCTCACATAAATATGTCCATTGTGGTTCACACACACAACTACCAGCCAACAATTTGCCCAATTATTTATAAATAATCTATAGAATGTACGCCATGGCACACTCAGTTGTATGAAAGAGGCATCAACATGGGCAGGTAGAGTCATCCATGCAGAAGCAACTTACCTGGGTATTCAGTAGTGGAAACATCTCTTAGGGTGCAAAGAAAAGCAGTGATCTGAGAAATGTGCCCCAGAAATTCTTAAAATTCTTACAAGGGCAGCTTTCCCCACCTAATGTCTTCCTGGTTGGGACTGTAATACCCATCTTTTCCAGCCAGCATGGAACTGCTCACTGGGGAGGGTGAAGCTGCAGTCTCAACACATCAGGAGGGCATCAGGTAGTAGAAAAGTTGGCATATAAAATGATGGTATTAGAACACGTCTTTAGTCATTCCTAGATGGAAGGCACTCCCTGGTTTTCTCTTGATTTTCTGCACCCTGCAGGCTCCATACATAAAGAAAATAGCTATTGCACACATGTTGAAGCATATTTCCTCATGCAAAAGATCTCTGGATCCTGACCAGATTTTCTTATTTGAGTGGAAGGGGTATAGTTGTTTAATCAATGACTGTTTTGTTTATACAGTCCTGCTTACAGCTTTGTTAGTTAGAACACTTTAGAAAAAAAATCACTCCATTCTGATAACAAGTCTGTTAGTTTTACACAAGAATATGTAAGCCAAAGCCTTTTTTTTAAAAGAACTGTTCTTTGCTTTTTGTCCAGTAACAATTTCTTTTATACCTAAAACTATATCTCAATAGAATGTCTCCCCTTTCATTTTTTAAAAGAATGCCATATGTGCAAAGCCAATGTTTACTCTTTGAATTATGTAAATGTCATTTGCAGATTGTGTGCCTGTTTTTGTCTAAACCCTTTTATTTTTGGCATGGGGATGTGATTGTTATCTTTTTGCTTTATTTTTTTAAAAAATGTTTGATTTGCATTTCTTTGAAAGAAGTTGGTTAATGCAATGCTTATCTAAATACTTATTGTCCCTCTAACAGTTAACCTTTGGACTATGTTTCAAGCTGCTCAAAAACTGGGAGGATATGAAACAGTAAGTGTTTAAGTAAATTAAATGGAAAAAAGTACAATCTGCCTTTCCCTGGTTTTGATGTTGTTGTTTAAACATACAGAGATTGAGAGAGAGGAAATGATCGTGTATTATACATACATGCACTTTGGGTTTAATAGGCCTTCCCCTCTTCTTTTCTATTCTTCCTCTCTTTCCTTTAACCTTTCTTTTGGAAGCAGTCCCAATTAGTTCTAGGTTTGGCAAAATCACAAGCTTTTTTTTAACCAGTCTTCTAAGTGGAAAACATATGTAACTCTTCCCTGTCAAGGAAATTGGTTGGGTCTGTAATTTTTTCCCATGTTGAGAAGGGCCATTCCTGTAGAACAAGCCAAGATTGCATAAAACACAATTTCACTTGGCATAGCCCCTGACATCTGTTCATGTTGAATATAGAGAATGTATTAAATGCTTTCAAAAGTAATCAGCATTGTCTATTAAGGAATAGCTCAGTGTAGTCTCTTTTCTTACTGTGAATGGTAAAAGATCTTTGTTAGAAAAGGGTCAGAGTGCCACGCAAACAGGAAGTTATCCAAAGTATAAAGTGGTAGTGGGGGAAACACACTGATGCCTTTTATAATCTAATCATATCTGACATGGCCACTTTATTTTTAGCTCATGGGGAAATTTGATGGTTGTGGATTTTACAGCATGTGTTCCAAACCAATAAAATATTGGAGCAACAAACTGTGATTAAGATCTTGAAATGAGAAGAAAGAGCTCCTTTAATATGGCACATAGAGATGGCATCTGTAATAAAACCCATTTGACATAAAATGACCGTCATTGGAAATATTTTCCCTCCCCATGATGCTCAAGTTGCATTTCCTGCCACAGTTGAACACACACACAAAAGGAGATACCGTTTTTTTCTCCTTCTTGTTACTGGTTTGTTTGCCAAGTATTAATATGGTCTGTATCTACGCCACAATGAACTAACAGAGAAATTAATTGCTCAAATTAATTTAGGCTAAAATGCAATCACCATGACATTCATCCTTAGAAGAAAGCCTATTATTCCCTTATTTTAATATCTGTGTGGTCAGCTGACCTTGATGTTTGTTTGTTTGTTTGTTCATTTATTTTAGTGGTTATAAGAAAAATAGTGATCACATAGCAGTATTTGTTAGCTTATTTTTGGTAGATTTTTCAATGCCTATTCATTTAAGAGTAAACTCCACTAAGATTGATGGTTTATGCTTTGAAATAAATGTGCACTGAATCTTAACGTGTTAAGTTAAACTTTTACTTAAAATTTAAAAGAAAATTAGGATCCATTAAAATGCATCACACAAAAGTATAGCTGAGAAATATTAACACTGGTTTGATGTGGCATCTGAATTTTGTGATCTGATTTATAAGTAAGCCATGAGTTGTACTAAAAGTGGTTTGGTGCAGTTGTTTAATTGATAGACAAGAGCTATGGGTAGCATTCCACACCTAGAGATACCACTAGAAGGAGTGAACGTCTGTATCAGAATCAGAAAGGATTGAAACTGAAAGCAGACAATTAGCTCTAACCATACCTTGTATGTATGGAAATTCATATCATGGTTTGTGTTGTAAACTATGGTTATCACAGTCCATGATTTAATTTCATGTCTGAATTGTGCCTTTGACCAGTTCGAAGAAAAGCACAACCATTTTTCTTAGTTAGTGGCTGTAATCCTGTTAACAGTTATGCAAATGGTGTAACTTTTTAAGCCTATTCCAATAAATTAAGAAATCGCTGTAGAAATTATGTGTTGCATACTGAGTCAAATGTCTTAATGTGCAACAGGCAATGCCTACAGAGATTTCTTAACTTCTGGCAATTCAGTCTAAAAGTTACACTAACTGGATAACTGTGCAACAGCATTTCGGGCAGTGGGTGCTACTAAAAGTAAAAGCAGCTGTTGCGTTGGATAAATTGAAATCTGGCAGAAGATCTGTACTGAGCAAGCAAGATCAACAGAGAATGCTCTACTCCTGCTCCACACCAATATCAAGAAGGTTATTATTTAGTATAATATTAGTAGATTCTTCCTCTCCCCAAATTCCTGTTTGAGGAATTCCCTCCCCAGCTATACATGTAGGAATTTAACCTTGTTAGAATTTAGGAGGAAAACTAAATTAGACCTTTTTTGTTTTGGAAAGCCAATAAAGTTTAGTTTTCTGTTTGGCTTTAAAATGCAAGTCTATCAACTACTGTAATTGTACTTGTTTGCTAGATTTTTCTATCTTTTGTTGTATTTTAAATTGTGTTTCCATAAGAAAATATTATATTTTGAAAAAGAAGAAGTGCTTTTGACTGAGCAGGAATCTCCACCTTCTCTTTTTTTGTTTTAGGCAAAATTTGATCCATGACTGGAATCCTATTGGTGTTCACACAAGGTCTGCATAACTTGGCAGCGGCTAGGACATACATTATCTCAGTTGCTTGCCTAGTCATGTGCCTGGAACCTTGTCAGTTAGCTGCAGTTAGCCACAGGAAGTTGCACAAATCTTGGGCTAACACCAGTGGGATTCTAGCCAATGTTTCTGAGCAAGCAATCTCATAGCTCATAGTTACACAGCCAGTCCCAGGTTTGTTTTTGATGTAGTGAGAGTGCTCTTGTGAAAAATTAACATCCTTACAGATCAGTCCTGAAAATATTCATTTGGATTTATGTCCCACTGATAGAACTCACTCCTAAGGAGGGCTATTTAGTATTGCCTTCCACAGGTATCTATACTGAGGGGACGAGGAGCAAACCTGTGATTGTGTTTCTTTTAATTTTATATTGAAGACAGGTGGCAAGTGAATAAGAATGTGGTTGTTCCTATAAATTTCCCAACAGGAAAGACAGGTAATGGGCTGCTAAGCAGGGCCTGTAATTTTTAAGATTAAAACAGGAGAAGCTTTTACAAACCCACAATAGAAGTTTCCAAAGATTGCATGTCTAACCTTTTACTATCAGAAAGATGATTTAGTGCACTGCCAAAAAAGAGAAGTATATTTAAAAAAGAATTTTTAAAATAATTAAAATGTGTAATACAAATGTGTCTTAAATCTAATAAATATATATATGATATATATATATGTATAGGAAAGTAAATAAATAATGGAACACACTATGCTTTGTAATCACAGTATCTTTAAAGTGATGGAAGTAGTAATAATTTACCTACAAATAGCTATGACTAAAATTTGTCAGCTCCTTATAGTAATTATAAAAAACTACGATGTGACATTGAAAATAAAATGATTGTTACTACCGAACTATATCAACAGCTATGCTTAGAAAAATACACATAGATTGGATTTCTTATGCATGCAACCTTAGTTGCTAAGCAATTGATTTTATGGGCTTAGAAATTGAACTTTCCACTCAGTATTGATGACTGGGCATCCCAGGAGTGTTGAGTGTTTATATAAAGGAATATCTTATATAAATGTAATGACATCTGGGATATCATTTCGCAGTCCTTTAATGATGGTCATGTTGTCCCAAAGCAACTCCTTCTCACTCCTGCTCAATTAACATAAACTCCCCCCCCCTCACCTTTCCCTGCTTATGTTCTTATTTTCCTGGATTGTCAGAGTAAATTTACAGAATTCACAAAAATGCTGCGAACTCATGGAAATCAGGTACCTTCTTTTCTTTTTTTATACCAAAAACAAACAAATGTGTTTGTTTTTTGCTGTAAGGAAGAAAAGTAGAGATATTCAATTTGCACTTAAATTTAGATAATTATTTATATTATCCATGTGGTAATTACCATTGTTGCACTGTTACCTGCCTGTGTGAAGCTGCTTATTACCAGATGTCCTATAAAAAAACATAGTCCATGACGATGGATTTATTGTCCCAGAGAGGGCAGTTGTTCAGCTGTGGTGGCCAAGCTGAAGACTGAGGATACCATCAGAAGTTGGCTTCTGCCAATCAAGCATTGAATACTGTTTAATGTGAATATGGAAACTCATTCTTTAATGAATGAGTGAGTGAGTGAGTGACAGTCCTGAGAGAAGAGTAAAATACTGGCAGTGTATTAGCTATCTTCAGTCTAATATCTGTTCTTCTGTGTACATACTGGAAAATCCAAATGTAGCAAAATCTCTCTCTCTCTCTTTTTCCTGGTGACTGAAAATAGATGGATTACTTGCTCTGAGTTCATATTAAATCAGTATTCTGACAGTAATGTTTTTATGCTGGAGATTATTATTCCTTTATACTTGGTTCCAAATACAGATTTAGGGCATCCGTCATTTTTAAGAAAGTGTATATGTACTGATGCCATAGTATCTAAAGTATTCTACTTGTCTCCAAAATTGACGTTCTAAGTTGAGTTTGCTACATAATTGGTCTCTGTTTCAGATTCTGCCTTAATTGTTTGGCCTTTTTTTGTATACTATTAAGTCATATTTGCTTTTTGGCTGAATGCCTTTTAGTTGAGCTACACAGCTCAGTGGTTCCCAAAGCAAAAGCAAAGCATGCTGTTTATATACCGCCCAATAGCATTTAAAGCGCTCTCTGGGCGGTTTACAAGTTATTTATGCAGGCTACACATTCTCCCCCCACCCCAAGCTGAGTACTCATTTTGCTGACCTTGGAAGGATAAAAGGCTGAGTCAGCCTTGAACCGACTACCTGGGATTCAATCCCAAGTTGTGAGTACAGTTTTGGCTGTAGTGCAGCAGTTTAATCACTGCGCCATGAGGTTCGAACCTCTAGATCCCCATTTGTTGTTGCACAACAGGTCAGCGGAGACCACTAAGTCCAATTTTATGGGGTAATGAACCCAGTCCAAACATGAAAGGAGCTATCCAGTGTTCTGGACCTATTGTAGGGGGGGGATAGATTGAAGCTTGTTTGATAGGTCCTATAAAGGTAAAACTAAAACTTAGAGGATGTATCAGCCTCTTCTGCTCCAAATCCCAAAATCCCTTGCTACTGGCCATGCTGGCTAGGACTTTTAGGAGTTGGTGAAACAGCATCTGAAAGCTCAAGACTGGGAAACAGTCTT